GAAGAGCTCTGCGTAAGCTCAAAAGCCTCTCTCTCTCTCTCTCTCACTGACAGAAGTTGATTCAATAAAAGATATTACCTCACGCACCTCGACATTTGTCAAATGTTTTTGAAGAATAGATAAATCTGAGGAAATCTCTTTTTAAAATTTGTCTCACAACCTTCGCTACCACAGTTTTTCAATCTGCAAACTAGAGATAATATTACCTCACAGAGCTGTTGAGCGGTTTAATTATTGCTTAGAAAGTGATTTAAGGCCCTTGGATTTAAATTGACATTTAAGTTTAAAACAATACTATTGAGTATACTAGATCTTATCAATGAGTCTAGTTTCAAAGGTCCGTTACCAATTTAGTATTAATGGAAGACTGTAAATCCTCAGGTTGAACTGACACATGAAATGGCTCAAACTATATTCGGGACCAAGATTTTCAAGAGAAACTAGATATTTTGGGGGTACCCACCCTGAACCAACTGAAAGGGGCCTGATTTTCAGAGGGCAGGTGCCATGCACTCTCTGACAATCAAGCCCTTTTACTGGTAACATTTATGTTGGACACCCAACATCCCTAATCTCTTTCGGACGTTTTGGCTTAACTCGAATATACCACTGTTTTCAGTCAACACCTTCAATAAAATGAGTGCCCTAAACATCTAAAACTTGAACAGTCAGCACATAATGGTATTTGCTCTTTTTTTTTTAAGAGCTTATTCAGTTTTTTTTTTGTGTGTGTGTGGGGCTTGGGTAGACTTTCTACACTAAGTGAAAAACAATCTAAAATATGCAAATCCAAAGTTATCCTTTCCCCTATCAGCAAAGCACAGTTGTCTATAAGGAGGACATCTCACGATCCCTTTGAGTATTCCAACTATAGTGAACTAACTACTGTTTGAATTTTTGTATGATTTGAGAAGATAAGAGGCTAAGCTGAAGAGACAGAAGTAAAAGCCTGAAAAACTAATTGTTCAGCAATAGACCCAGGGGTATACCAATACTGACTTTCACCTGCAGAAAAGGATGTCATTGTTCTTGAGTCTTGGACCAGAAAAATCTCTGGAGGCTGCTATTTGTAGATATTTTTATCATAATGTGCACCAATGTGGGGCCCAGTCCTGCATCCCTTTCTCATATGAATGGTCTCATAGGACAATGTGCATGGGTAAGTGGTACACAACTGGACACCATCTTTTTTGTCTAGTATGTAATAGAATATTTATCCCAACAGTTGATTTGCTTTACTAACTAGTTTCTTTTGTTTCATAACCAAATAACACAAAATCCATTTTAGGCCCTGATCCTACAAATATAAATGGACTTTACACATGGGCAGTTCCAATGAAGTCAAGTAAGACTGCTCACATATATAATGGTAATCATATGCGTAAATGTCTGCAGGATCTGGGCTTTAAGCTATACTGTCAAGTGATTAACTAGTCAACTACATTCTAGGCTATTGCATTACTGAAAACCACTTCTTCTGAAAACTGTAGACCCAATCCTGGTCATAGGCACTGACTCGGGGGTGCTCTGGGGATGGAGCACCCACCAGCAGCCCCACAGATCAGCTCCTCCTCTTGCCCACCACAATCAGCTGTTCAGCGGCGTGCAGGAGGTGCTGGGATGAGGGAGAGAGGAGCAGGGGCAGGAAGAGGTGGGGGAGGGGCAGAGGTGGGGGCTTGGGAGAAGGGGGAAGGGGAGGCGGGGCCTGGGGTGGAGCAGGGTGTGTGTGTGTCAAGCACCTTTCAGGAACTCAGGAAGTCGGCATCTCTGGTCCTGGTGCAAGTAAAATTACATTAGAGACCATTCAGAAGAAAGATTATTACACAATTTCATGGAATCTGACTTGTAAGTATAAATAAAACAGACTTAGAAAATGAATAATTTAGCAATTCAGAAATGTGATATCTAAAAGTTAAAAGTAAAACACTGGACAATTAGGGATAACCTGGAGCCCAGGGCTGCAAACCTTTAGCTATGTGAGAGCTAAGAGTTCATCCAATCAATAATCATAATGATGGAACGTTGAATCGAACATTTATCAAAAAATGCAACCCTACGCAGATTTGAATTCAATACTTTTGAAGAAGAAATTAGATCATTAATCCAGTTTGATACATGCTTAGGCTAAGATACAGCTCTCATTTTGGTCACTGGCGTGCTCCCATCTATATATTTTTCTTATTCATGCAGTATAAATACCCGGAGAATAAAATAAAAGAATGGATGTACATCTAGAAATTTCAAACAAAGGGCCCATCCTCACCATGAGACTGGGTGCACAGTGCATTCATTAGATAATACTTTGCTCAACAGTTCTCACTTGCAACTTTTGAGGAATGCAGACTTTGTTTACTGCATTTTGCCTCTTCAACAGGAATGCAAGAAAATGAAAGAATAAACCCCTCCAATGTCCTGCGTTCTGCTACAGGTCTCCATAAACACAGGACACACTAAAATAATGGAAGACTGAAGGCCAAATGCCAACCCATGTGTACATGGCTTCCTTCCCTATTCCCCTGAGTAAGCAGGTGCTATCTGAGGCTATCTGAGCCAAGGGCAGTTGGGCCCAGTGTTTAAGGGAGAGAGGGGGATTTTGCATCCCCCACACAGGTAGAAACCATGAAGCTGCTCAGAAAGTAGGAAACTCAACCCCCTTTCCACCTCCAAGCAGCCTTTTATGGATCTTTCACCAGCTCCCACAAAGAGGCATGTTCCAGTTAGCACCACTGCTGTGACGGGGTTGGGGGATGGAAAACTCACTCCCCCTTCTGACATTCCCCACCCAATCGCTATTGGGCGAGAGGAGGTATTTTGGACCCCATGGCCAAGTTGCATGTCTGGTTAAAAGCTCTGTTTTGTAGCTTGTCACTAGTAGGGTTGCCAGTTTTGGTTGGGCGTATTCCTGGAGGCTTCATCACATGGCATAATAGTTAATTAAAAATTAATTTTAATTCCTGGAGACTCCAGGACAATCCTGGAGGGTTGGCAACAACAGTCACTAAGATGTTTCCTTGCAGCTATGCAGCATATTCAGTCAGCTGGAAGGTAGCCAGTGCCTCCTTTGACATCATCCCACTGTCTTGATCACGTCACTGGCAGTCAGGGTGGTGGAATCACAGACACTTTTGGTAAGGAGGACTGGAGCTGGGTGGCCATGTATGTGTTATACAACCCTGCTCAGAGGTTGACTTCCCTTGGAATAGGGCCACCCACCAGTCCCTGGGGCTACATGCTGCGGACATGCCTTGGGACAGGACTCAGTCCAGAGTGATTTGGGCTGAATGAAAGCATATGCAGCCAACAGCATTGCAGGGCTTAGTATTATCGGGACAGACCCATCCATTTTGAGCCCGTTACAGCTACTTGCAGTTCTCTTTCGCTCACGTGGTTTCAAGTCACTCCCTAGACTTTAAGCCTGAATCAGACTGTTAATGTCTAAGAGACATTTATGATAAATTTCCCAGTACTTAGCTTCTATTTAACCGTACAGGCCTTTCTTATGCAGGAGGGGCCTGGTCCTGCTCTCATCAAATTCAATGACAAAACTCCCATTAAATTGAAAGGCAGCAAGATGAGGCCCTATAACTCCAGTGACTGGAAATGATTCAGCTTGGGGCTTGACTGGAATTGAATGCTGTCCAAATTGATTCACGTCTCCTGAAATTCTTTGGTTTTGTTTGTGGTAGCGTGGCTAGTTTGCCATTCGTCGACAACAGACAATTTGTACAAGAATATGCTAACGCTTCATGAAATTTAAATGTTACTTTTGATTATTCCAGAATATAAAGCTGCAGTTAGAGTTAGGAAGTGGCATTTATCATAGGAGTTTGCAGTCTTAACACCGAGCAAATCCCTGTGTGCCTATGAACAAACAGGCTGAATGGGTTGGTTCAATTGTAATGTAGGCTCTGCTGGGGCTGTGAGCCACAGCTCTGAGTATGGCCAGTGGGGAGCCGGCCTGTCTCTGATCCCTGATGTGTAAGCAGAGTGCTGCTTTTACAGCCTTTCAGGTGTACAGTGTACTTTCTCCCATAGAGACAGCCATGGCAGCTGGTACTGAAAGGGGATAGGACCATGGCCCCACTTCATTCCCACCTGCTCTTGGAAGACTACCACACCAGGGACTCCTACCAGGGACCGATCCCCTTACTTAGGCCAAGGTGGAGACGGATGTTCTGGGCAGCGCCAAGGAGCTATTGGAGGCTCTTAAACTGATTCTGAGGGAAGCCCACTTCCGAGAGGGCTGTGTCATGTGTGCAGTCACCTAGCATTTGTCCTCTCTTGCAGGAGTGAATGTGACTCCACCCAGGAGCGCGGCCAGCTTTTCTGCCGCCCTAGGCGGTGGAAGGTCCCGCCCCAAAATGCCGCACCCCACAGAGGAGGCGGAAGGTTCCGCCATCGAAATACCGCCGCAGTCGCCGCCCCCCAAATTGTAGTGCCCTAGGCGACCGCCTAGGTCGCTTAATGGGTTGCGCCGGCCCTGACTCCACCACACCCTGGAATATAGTGGGGGAGGCCCCTTTGCACACCCCCAAAAAGGCCAGCCAGAATCAGTTGAATTTCCCCCCAGAAATATTTCCATATGTGACAATTTTATTCATACATGAGTCAGTGCCTCTGCTGCCTTCACTGGCTGATTTTAGTTTTTTATTGTGATCCCTTTTTACAAACAGCACTCAATCCTGCAACCTTTACCCACAAGAGTAGCCCTGCCTTCAGTAGGGTTATTTACATGAGTAAGGGCTACTGCTGAGAGCAAAGGTTTGCCCTATTTTTTATTAATTTAGAAGGCAACAACAAATTTACAGAGATGTTTTCTGCTGGGTTCCATTCAAATTATTTGCCATCAAATGTGAAAGCCATTCAGGATATTTAATTTTAGAAAGGTAATTGGCATGTTTTTATGACTTATTTTTTAAGAGCTGTTTAATTTATTTCTATAGAGACACAATTCCAAAACCTTATGTAACAGTCACATACCGCACAGATTTGAAAAATACCTGTTCCAAAATTGTGTTTATTCTCTCTACTTCACAGTCGATTAAGTATCTTTTTTCCTGTCGTCTGTCCATTTCCTCTATGATTCTCCTCAATTCCTGAACGTCCTTTATACTTCCCACAGACCTGGCTGTCACTTGCCAGTTGTTTTGTACTGCTGCTTCCATAATTGCCTGAAGAATGGAAAATCCTAGAGGGGAGAAAAATACAATGCAATTGTTTACTGAAAAAAGCTGGTTTAAATATGTGAGAACAGGTTAAAAATTCTATTGTCTGAAAAGAAATATAGTAGATAGTAGCCTGCAATCAGTTTATGACCTGAATGACAAGATGGTAGGGAACAGATTGTGCTTTCTGTTACCCTGGTGTCAATTCTGAGCAGCTCCATTGATTTTAGTAGAATTATTCCAGAAACAAATCACTGAGATTGGTAGCTGGCCTAACAGCTCTGATGGCCTGTTTGTAGTTTTATTAGGGTCTATGGCAGCTAAGGGTGTGACCCTGCAGTCCTCACATGGGCAAAACTCTCATCGGATTCAGGAGATAAACAGAATCTAATGGGAGATTTGCCTGAACAGAAACTACAGGAATGGATCATTAATTGGTACAGACCCAACCACTGCATACAAGAATGCCAACTAAATCATCGAGCTGACGACTGGAGGCATGTACTGTAGAGCATATTTGCTGATATTCACTTTTATTACAAGCAATATTTTTAAATATGGAATGCAATAATATTAACTACACTTTTAAAGCTTATATTAAGGTAACGTTGACTCATTCAGCAGCCTCAACAGAGCAGCAAAGCAGCATGAAATGAACGAAGAGCTGCACAGTGGGAAATTTATGCAAGGAAACTGCAGTTCATTCCTTGCGCACAGCTGTGAGTGGGCTCAAGACAAACTTGAGCACAGAGCCGTGAGCTAACTGTAATGAAGCTGGGAAGGGAAATCTCCTCCCCAAAGGTAGCTTATGGGGGAGCCTTGGGGCACTAATTTGTATTCCGTGTCTTGCCGCATTTAGTTTGTGTTTACTGACCCCCTTTTTCAAAAGGTTGAGACTGTAGGATATTTTCAATTATTTCCTATTTAGAAGAGTTCAATTCAGATAGCATAGGTCACCTACTTGACAACTCAATGCACCTACTTGGGTACCAACAGAATGCATCCATTTCAGTACAGAAACGTCCGAGTGGAATATGTTTCTATCTAAATAATTTATTAATAAATTATTGAATTAAAAGTTTATTAACACTTTGGGGTCCTTATTCATAGTCCTACTTTAGAAGCACAGAATTACTTCATGTATATTCTACGCACACACATATACACACGTATACACACATTTGCTAGGTTTAATTATTTATATTTTAACATGGAAATTTACTAGTACTTTATGGCAAACTCCCTCACCCACTTTTGAGACTGAAAATCCTTGGGACACACACAGGAACAAAGCACTGAAAGAACTGAACTATACCAGTTGCTATTCTGAGCTCAAATCTGAGATTTCATTTTAAGGGTGTTTTTTATACTAAATAATTAGGACAAAGAGTCCGATCTCATTTACGCTGGTGTAAATTTGCAACAACTCCACTGACATCGATGGAGAGTCTCTGGATCATTACTGGTGTAACCGAGGGCAGAATCTGACCTCTGTTGCTCAAGCTATACCCTAACAGAGCCTGCATGTAGACAGGGCCGGCTCTGGCTTTTTTGCCGCCCCGGGCAAAAAAGCCTCCGGCCGCCGCCCCCTTCCTCCCCCCCGGGGGGGGAGGGGGGCCGGAGCCCCGGGGGGGGGGGGGCGAGCCCCGGCGGGGGCTCCGCACTCTCCCCGGTGGCCGGGGGGAGGGCGCGGGGGGGAGGGCGGCCGGAGCCCTGGAAGGAGAGCGGCGAGCCCCGGTGGGGGCTTGGCTCTCCCCCCGGCGGCCAGAGCGCCGGGGGCAGGGCGGCGAGCCCGGCTGTGGCCCCGCTCTCCCCGGCGGTCGGAGCGCCGCGCCGCCCCCCTCCAGGTGCCGCCCCAAGCACAAGCTTGGGGGGCTGGTGCCTGGAGCCGGCCCTGCATGTAGAGCATTAGTAGAACTTTTCATGAGGCTTCCCACCTCCTTTCAAAGTGCCCACACTGTGGCTACCTAAAGCACCTTGAGTATTATTGGTTTTCCGTTGTATGGATGCATGTTATTGTCTTGTCAAAGGTGGTGACAATTTATACATACTCTGGCTGGGAAACTTTTCTGGCATCCCCTTTCCATTGACACTATTAAAAGAGAGGCATTTACATATCTATAGTATGATAAACTCAGTCTTCCTCAACATCATATTTTACAAAGATGACTGTGATGTCTCAGAAAGTATTATGATTTCACTGCGAACAGAGGAAGTTCACATATAAGACTGAGGCCTGGTCTACACTGGGGGCGGAGGGGGGAAAATTGACCTAAGATACGCAACTTCAGCTATGAGAATAGCGTAGCTGAAGTTGACGTATCTTAGGTTGACTTACCTCGTGTCCTCACGGCGTGGGGTCGACTGCCACCGCGCCCCCGTTGACTCCGCTTCGCCTCACACTGCGGTGGAGTACAGGAGTCAACGGCAGAGCGATTGGGGATCAATTTATTTCGTCTACACTAGATGCGATAAATTGATCCCCAATAGATCGATCACTAACTGCCGATCCGGTGGGTAGTGTAGACGTACCCTGAGATACTCAATAGCTTACAAATGATGAATTCTGATATAGAAATGCAATTACAATTAACAGGCATTTACAAATGCTTTGTATGTAAAGATTTGCTTTTATAATATTTGTTTCTACTAAATAAGAACTATTTACACCTTTCTGCTTTACATCATTCACGTGTAAATATAAATCTTGTGCTTGCGCTAAACTAATAATAAATTGGTCAACAATCTTTAGAAATCTTCCAATCAAAATGTACTAATGGTTTCAGTTTATGAACATTCTGATCCCATATGGGAGCCTGCAAGAAATGGCATTGCTCTATCTTTTTGCAAATAAAAAATACCCAAATGCTTATGGATATTTCCAAAGAAATAAGTTAAAAATAAATACATTGGAAAGAAGGTACTTTACTACACTCTCAAAGTAATGCACACTGGAAAACTTAATCCCAACTATACATACAAAATAATGGGATCTAAATTACAACTCAGGAAAGAGATCTTGGAGTTATTGTGGATAGTTCTCTGAAAACATCTGCTCAATGTGCAGCGGCAGTAAAAAAGCTAACAGAATGTTAGGAAAGGGATCGATAAGACAGAAAATATCATAATGCCACTATATAAATCCATGGTCTGCCCAAACCTTGAATACTGAGTGTCGTTCTGGGTGTCCCATCTCAAAAAAGAATTGGAAAAGGTACAGACAAGGGCAACCAAAATTATTAAGGGTATGGAACAGCTTCCATATGAGGAGAAATTAAAAAGACTGGGAGTTTTCAGCTTGGAAAAAAGAAGGCTAAGGAGGGAATGATAGAGATCTATAAAATCATGACTGGTGTGGAGAAAGTGAAAGTGTTATTTACTCCTTCACATAACAAAAGAACCAGTCAACCAATGAAATGAATAGGCAGCAAGTTTAAAGCAAACAAAGGAAGTACTTCTTCACATAATGCATAGTCAACCTGTGGAACTTGTTGCCATGGGATGTTGTAAAGGCCAAAACTATAATGAGATTCAAAACAGAATTAGGTAAGTTCATGGAGGATAGGTCCATCACTGGCTATTAGCCAAGATGGTCAGGGATGCAACCCCATGCTCTGGAAGTCCCTAGCCTTTGACTGCCAGAAGCTGGGAATGGGCGACAGAGGATGGATCACTCGATGATTACCTGTTCTATTCATTCCCTCTGAAACACTTGGCATTGGCCACTTTCAGAAGACAAGATACTGGTTTTACCAGTATGGCTGTTCTTATGTTCACATTACCCATTCAGTTTGGTCTCTGCACTTCCTGGTTTCAGATGAAGTTCTATTAGGCCATATCTGACTTAATCAAAATCAGGGTATCTTACAAGCAGGGCCGGCGCAACCCATTAGGCGACCTAGGCGGTCACCTAGGGCGCTACAACTTGGGGGGTGGCGACCGCGGCGGTATTTCGGCGGCGGGACCTTCTGCTGCCTCTGTGGGGGGGCGGCATTTCGGGGCAGAACCTTCCGCCGCCTAGGGCGGCAGAAAAGCTGGTGGCGCTCCTGCTTACAAGAAAGCCCTTTCATGTGCGATATACCCACGTGTGTGTGTGTGCACATGCACATGTGTGTTTTGTCCAGCAGTTGCTATTTCAAAGAAGAGCAAGGAGTGGGGAGGGTTATTCAACAACTTTTCTCCGATACATGTAAACATAATCAATTACTCACAGCATGAAAGAATTCTATGGACTGCCCACCACTTCTGTATCCACTACAAACTGTTTCTCCTTATCTTCAGGTACTTCTATGGCAATACCCCCCTCTGCCTTCATGATCGCCTCTCTCCATCCTTCCCATGATTTCTCTCTGTGCTTTGCCATTTGTGTCCTCTTCTTGGTCCTCCTCTTCCACGTCTCACTCACAAACTATCATTTGCTCCTCCACTTCCCCCCACCTGACTGAGTCTCCATTGCTTTATAGAAACAGCACAAAACCCACCTCTTCCACATTTTCAAGAAACCATCAGCCAATTCCCTGAAAACACAGCATTCACTATTCCCTACCCTTCAACATTTCTCTATGCCTATTGTCTTCGGCAGCATCTTACTGTAATGTACATCCTTAGCCATTATGAGACATTTGCATGAACAACATGTTCCCAACTTCAGTTGTACTCTATCCTTGTGGATGCTGCTATATTTAACAGCAGGGCTATTTTTAAAAAGGTTTTCTTTGTTTTTCTTATTTCAGACTCTGAGCGTTTCTTTGTTTAACTTAGCAACAGTAAAAATGTGATTGTCCATGGGGATCTCTCTGTTAGGGAGTGAATGGGGAAATGTCACTCCCAGTTCCTTGCACATCCATGAGTGAGCCAGTGTAATCACATTTTCCCCTCCAGATAAATCTATTTTAGTGTGAGTGTTTCACAAAAGATACTCTCATATAACGGAGTGCAGGTGTATAGCTCTCATGAATGGTTCTAATTTTGTGAACCCCAGAAGGAAGCCAGCCAGCTACAGGGTGTCTTGCTCAGTTTTGTG